AAATAATCCCATTTCGAATATTGTCACTTAAATTGGAAAAACTCCCCTCGTGCATCTTACCCTCCGGGAAGGGCGCGCAAAAAGGAGGTGTGACAGTGACAATAATAAAATCAGTGATGGCTCTTTATGGCTAATAATAAGCAATAAATGAAGGACGATAAATAGAACACAATGGATATGAACAATAAATGCAAGTAATGAGATCAAGAGAATATGTTAGAGAGCAGAGAGAATGTTCTTGTATATTTAGTTTTGAGCAACAAGTTCTTTACAAAATGACAAGGATCCCCTTTTTATATGAGGGGGAACCCCAATATTGTACAAATACATTTATTACAAAGATATGGAGATGAGACAGCTAGTTGATGCCATGATTCAGGTATGAACTTAGCTCACTAGACTTTGTCAGCCCTAGCTATGCACCTTGGGAACTCCCCGCTTTTTTACCATAGTCGTTGGTCCGCACTGCCCCGAGGTCGAGTATCGATAGCCCTCGGGGGTGAACCCCGACCATAGTTTCGAACTTGTAAAGCGTGCTTACGAGACATCGCAATGAGAAAAAATTGGACCCTCCGATTTTACCACATACAATATTACATGCACTTTTATACAACTAACTCACATTATTAACCGCCTAACTAACTTGAAATAATTAAATATTAATTTAACAACTATAGCTAGCTATATATATATATAAGCTGGAAATAGAAAAGGTGATGTGGCACCTTCCTATGCTCAGCATTTGTATTTTTCTCCTCTCCTTTTTCTGATAATTTTTCATATTTTCCTATTTTCACAGACGCTTATGTTACCTCACCAAGCTCTTTACTCTCCTAACCATAACTGACCCCTTTCTTCTTCCTTTCTCTTGCTTACCACGATTTAGGGCTTCTTCTCTTCCACTTTTTCCTTTCGAGGTAAATCTCCAACGCCTTGCTTTTCCTCTTCTCCCTTCCCATAACAAAGGTAAAATTCTTCTTTTACTCTTCAGTATTTTTTAATTTGATTTCTCCTTCGTTTCTTTATCCTACTCGTCAGAGATAACCCTCTTTCTGATTTTATTAATTTTTTATCTCTCATATTTTGTTTTCTCGCTGTATCTCTTTATTGAATTACTGATTATTACTTGACTTTAGTCTTTAAGGTCGACTTCCTCTTCTTTCTCCTCTTTCTGATTTTGGAAATTGTAGTTTTTTTTCATTGTTTGGTTGGTATTCAATTGTCTCTGTATACACTATTCTTGATTTATGTCCAATTTTTAGTCGTGTCTTTGCATCTTTCGTTGCAACGGTCATATATTTGCAAATTGAAGCCTCTATATATGTTCAAATTTTTGCCAATTTCTTAAGTCTGTCTATCAAGACTGTTATTGCAAATTAGCGACATAGATGTATCTGTGCATTCTCTGAATAGAAACCTTAGGAATGATAAAGGAAATTACCAAATTTGTATAATTACGCACCAGCTTCTGTATATATAATTATGATCATAGTAAGACTCGCATGACAACTCTCTTAAGCCAAGAAATAATTTTTAATCTTTGTTTGACGGGTCTTTCAACAATTGCACACATTATTTTCACGTATTTAGTTGAAATTGTAAGGATAATGTTACTGGTAACTGGTAAATATAACTGTGAAGCATAGGTCTAGGGATTGTAAGTGACCTGTGTGAGAACTTCGGATTGGACTGCTCGCCAGCATTTCGCTTCTTCTCTTTCCCTTCCCTCCCAAAACGTGCATGTATATAAAATTCATGCTAATGCTTAACGATGAAATTCTATTTCAAGGCTTGGCGTTCTTTTTCTTGATTACGCACATTCACTATGGTAGGTTCTTTTAAATTCTGCGTACTCAAATTAAATACAAGTTCATCGTTTATCAACAAATACCTAGGGTATCAGATTAGCTGTTATTCCCACAAAATACAATCTTCATTTAATTGATTGCTTGAGAAGGGATTTTCGGTGAAAAAAAAATAAACAAATGACATTTTCAACTTCTTCCTTAGGGAGATCACATGTATATGCTCTATGAGTATTAGTTTGTTAAGTTTAAATGATAATTTAGCTTCTTTACGGTTTGCAGAGTTTATGCTTGAATTACACGGTTATATATAAACTCATTTTTTGAGGTTGAATGATGATGAATTTTCTTAAATTCCTTTTTTTTAGGGGGCCATTTCTTAAGGTGTCTCTCTGTTGAAAGATGTGACGTAAGCGATATAAGGTGTCTACTAAATTATCATTAGTCACATATAATCAGGAGAAGAAGATAGAATCTTGATAAACAAGTCTTTCGTGTTTTATATGCATATGCCTCTTTTTTCTTTTATTTTTGGTGGATCAGGAGTTTAATTCACATTTATTAGCAGATTAAGACTTGCACTTACTGCCAGGATGGGTGCATTGTATGAAGAGACGTAGTCAATCTTGGGATGAAGATTTCTATTTGGCATAACTCCAAAGCGTGTCAAGTATAATATAACTGTTTGTTAAGAGACATTGTAAATTTGCTCGTGCATATTCTAAATTTACTTATAACAGTTTCAAACTTTCAATATTTACCTTGATAAAACAATACCTCCAACTTTTTTTCTGCCTAACATATGTGCTTCTCTTAAATTTTTATCTCTAAATACGAGTGACATTGTGAGTAGTCCTCATCAGTTTAAAATAGTTGTGTTTGTTATTTACTTACTAATAAGTTTTTAATAAAGGCAAATCGGGAAAAATCGCTACGCGGTCTATCCCTATCCCTATGTTATGTAATAACTAAACCTTCTGTGTTTTTAATATAAAGTCTCTCCTTTCATTAGCAAAAAAATAATAAAAATGTTACATGTCATTTCTTGGGATTCATCCATTTGGAAAGTTAATAGGAAAAGGAATTACGTAGCATTTATGCATACGTGGCACGCAAAAGAATACTCTATTGCCGGGTACGAACTCTTCTATGATTCCAATCATGGAGGAGTCGGCAAAAAATATCATATGCTTTTTATTATATTTATAACTGATAATGGTGGAATTTTAATAAATTATTGAAATTCTCTCCTTTATCTTTCGCTTTTCCTCTGTGAAGTCAGACATAGTGTAAAAGAATGGGAAGTTGAACAATTAGGTGTATATAATATATTTTTGTTATTTTAATTGTTTAAATATTAAAAAAGTTATTTTATAAATATAAAATGGTCACTAGTGGTTAGACTAAATAGACGATAGTTACATTAATGAAGCGTTGCATAAGTATTGATCTCCATTACATACCTAAATGAAAATAGCGGCTAAATATCAAGTGCTCATACTGATTTTACAAATAACCAATTATGTGTTTGATTAGAACCATTGAGTTGATAATAAGGACTTGTATTGACAATAGGGCTGTTTATTCGGATCGGATATCTGAAATCCGAACCGATCCATTCAATTTCGGATTTCGGATTGTATTTTTTAAAATTTCGGATCGAATTCGGATTGATATATTTTAATCCGATCCGATCCGAAATTCGAAATTATTAGGGCATGTATAAATACTATACTTTAATTTCGGATAGTCAGTACTTCCTTTACATCAACCTCCAAGTTATTACCTTTACAATTGCTAGATTTAGCTATATTGACATCATAATACTCTCATAATTGCATAAACATGAATTTTTCTTAATGTATTGCCTTTTTTACAAAGAAAATATACATATTAGTTTAACTTTGAAGCATAATAATACGATCCGAAATCCGATCAGATCCAAACTTTAAAATCCCATCCCATCTGATATAATTCGGATCGGATTCGGATTGCATTTTCTAGAATCCGAAATCCGAAATTCGAATCCGAAATGTGCTAAATCCGATCCGATCCAATCCGTGCACAACCCTATTGACAAACAAGTGTTGATAACACTCTATTCCGTTAAACTGACTAAAAGGCCCTTAAAGCTATGTATGTATATTTATTTAAAGTATTGTTTTGCATAAGAAAGGACGAATATTGAAAATAGAATGCAGATGAATTTGAAGGCTTTGTTTTGGCGAAGGTATTCAAACATTAGAAGAAGTAATACAAATAAAATACTAAAATAATTTAATCAAATTAAAAGTATTTCTAAGCAATTTATATTTTTGACATATGAAGTACACTTTATTTTGTTTGCTAAAAGCATAGATAGGCCAAACAAAAACTATTTGTAAATCTAAACACCTTGTGTGTTTGGTACGAAGGAAAATATTTTTCGAAAATATTTCTTAATTTTTTCATATTTGATTGGTTAAATGTTTTGGAAAACATTTTCTTTAGGAACTCATTTTCCTCCAATTGGAGGAGAGTGTTTTCCTTATCAAGAGAAGGGAAAATATTTTTCAAAACTCCTTCTCAACCTTCCCCACTAACTTTTTTTTTTTTTGTAATTTCAAATTTTTATTTTTTCGTTTTCTGCACCACCTACCNCTTTTTTTTGTAATTTTTAAATTTTTGTTTTTACGTTTTTCTGCACCACCCATCCATCCCCTCTCCCCCCACTTTTTTTTTTGCAATTTTAAATTTCTGTTTTTTCGTTTTTCTACACATCCTGTGCACCTTCATCTTTTAACATATTTGCTTCAACTCACTTTTCTTGTTTTTCAGTCGTCTACTCGCGCTAAATTGCACATAAAAAATGCTAGATTAATAGTTCAATATTGACATTTTAGCTCCTTTTTTTTAATTTACATCAGTGAGGGGACGAGGAAAGATAAAAAGGATACTACATTGGTAGTGATATTTGAACCCTTCACTTCAACTGTAGAAGATCGAGTGAGCTAACATTCACACATAACGTTTTAGCTCTATTAACTCCAAATTCATGCTTAGTATATCTTATGTTCAGGTGGTTGTTTTGTGTATTGTAGTCTTATTTTCCTATTTATTGTCTCTTCTATGTTCATTTGTGGTTATGTGACTTACAGTGATGGTTGGGATTGGTTTCGGAAAGGTTTCAGAGTGAATTGGGATAATGTTGGAAGCTTAAGTGGAAGAATTGACTGGAGTTTGACTTTTGTGTAACTCCAGAATAGAATTTTGATGGATCCGATATCTTCGTATGGTGATTTTGGACTTAAGCGTATGTCCAAATTTAGATTTAGAGGCCCGTAGGTTATTTTGGTACTTTTTAGTGAATGTTGGAAAGTTGGAGGTTTGGAAAGTTAAGAGGTTTGACCGGGAGTTTACTTTATTGATATCAGGTTCAAATTTTGGTTCCGAAAGCTGGAATAGATCCTTTGTGTCATTTGGGACTTGTATGGAAAATTTGAGGTCATTCGGAGCTGATTTGGTATGGTTCGGCACGAGTTTTAGGAGTTGAAAGTTCATTAGTTTTATTAAGCTTGAATTGAGGTGCGATTCATGATTTTGATGGTGTTTGATGTGATTTGAAATCTCGATTAAGTTCGTATTATATTTTAGGAGTTGTTGGTACAATTGGATGGGGTCCCGGGGACCTCGGAGGTATTTCGGATGATTGCCCGATCATGTTTGGACTTAGAAGAATTGCTGAAGATTTGCAGTTCTGGTGCACATTCTCACAGGTGTGAGGCCATAGAAGTAGCCTTGTGATCGCAGAAGCGAAGGAGGAAGATTCAAGGGAAGTTCGTAGATGCGGACCTTGGACCGCAGGTGCGGCCAAGTGTGCATAGATGCGGATAATGAGCTAGGTAGGGGAGTCCGCAGAAGCGGACTAAGGTGCGCAGATGCACGTTTAGGTGCGAGGGCCTAACTGCAGAAGCGGATGGTCGGGGATTAATAGGGTTCTACATCTGCAATGGAATTTTCATAGATGTGGCGTCGCAGGTGTGACTATTTTTACCGTAGATGTGGTTTGCTAGATAGATTACATATGTTGAGGGTTTGAGTATTTTTCTCATATTTGAATTTGTGGAGCTTGGTCTAAGGCAATTTTAGGACTGCCTTTCATCCTAATTGAATAGGTAAGTGAAGCTTGATCACTTTTATTGATAAATATTGATTACCCATTGATTATTACACCTAGTTTATGTGAATTTGAAGTGAAATTTGGGAATTTTAGACTATGGTATTGGAGAGTGAGATTTGGTGATTTAAGGGTCGATTTGTGAATAGAATTGGATGAAATTAGTATGGTTGGAATCGTAATTGAATGAGTTCTTAGAATTTGTGAGTTTGGTCGTGTTTCGAGGTGTGGGCCTGGGGTTGACCTTTTAGGTTAGCTTTGTCTTTTGGAATCATTTCCTATAGCTTTTATTAATGATATTAAGTTATTTTGACTAGAGTCGGATCGTCCGAATGTTGATTCGCGGGGAAAGGCCTTCTTAGAGTACTGATTTGACTTGCTTGAGGTAAGTATCTTACCTAAACTTTTTTGAAGCACTAGTTGCCTAAATTATTTGTTAGCTACGTGCTATGAGTGGCGCATATATGTTGGGGTTAAGCCTATATTCGTGCACCGAGGGTACTATTTTCATGCTCGGGGTAGCACTTAGGTTATGATATGCCTTGATTTGACTGCTAAGATCAAGCTGTGATGTTTCTTTTATTTATACCCCTCTATGAGTTGCTTCTACTACATTTTAGATTTCGTTGAGGTTATTCTTGCAATTGAACATGATAAACTATTATTTCGTGATGAAATTGTTTGTTCTAGCCGTGATAGCACACATTACACATGCCTACACCATAGCATGCTATTTTTACCAGTCAAGGAGTATGAAGCTTGATAATCATTGATAATTTACATGTATTCTCATATATTTGCTTTCTGTGTGTTATGATCTAGACTAGTAGCATGTAATCATGCCGGGCGGATTTTGATTATTGGCACGTGTGTTATCTGTGCTCTTGGTATTATTGGCATGTCACGGCCCGGGTTTCTCACCCTCGGGACCGTGATGGCGCCTAACATCACACTTGCTAGGAAAGCCAACGTTAGAGTGTTATTAGCCAATTTCCTTTATAACTTAGTGAATAAAAGTAATCAATTTAAAACCAGTGATCATAGTTACAAAAGTAAGTAAACAGCTTCTTTATATATAAATACTATAACTAATATTATCACTATTACTATCCAAAATCCAGTGTCGTGACTTCACGAACATACTATGAATATCTGCAAACATCGGTCTGAAAGAAAATACATCTATTTTCAAAGGAAAGAAAACAGGAATGTAGAAACATAGGAGGGGATGGCAGGGCCTGCGGATGCTAGCTATCACTACCCCAACCTGTCACCACCCAGACCTCGATCCGGTCGTGATGGCGCCTCTCGTGAAGACAAGGCTAGCCAACCAACCCATTTCACCTTTTCAGAATAGTTAATATTAATAAACAGTTTTAGCATAATTAAATAACCACAGTCTAAACAAAAGTTTTCTTTATTAAGTGCGGAATACAATCCAAACACAGCCCAAACCGGGGTGTCACAAGTCACGAGCATCTATTAGAGTATAAATACAACTGCAAGGCCTGAAACATATAAAAGAGGACTGATAAACAAAAGGAAGAAATGCGGTACTGCGAACGCTGGCAGTCACCTCACTAACCTCCGATAAGTTAGC